CTTTCACTGCCAGAAACCGGCCCAGTGGCTCATCCTCCCTCACCACCCTCGATGGGGGTCCAGCACGGGGGTACGCGGGAGTTCCCCAGGTGGAGCGGTCGGTTGCAATGCAATTGTGTCCAAATGCCGCTACCACTTGGCGGGGCAAACCGTTGCTCCCCTCCCAGGCCTGCAGGCACTCGTCGGCCTTGATCGACACTGCTTATATGACACGGTGGAGAACTTCGCCCAGCAGTTCTCCGCTGCCCAAAAGCAGACTGAGGCCATCAGGTACATCCTGCCCCGGCGTGCAGCTGCTGCCTCCACCCGGCTGCCGGTGGCAGTGCCTCAGCCCGCTCGTCGCCGAGGGTGGCCCCCAGCCGCCGCCCCCACTCCCGCGCAGCGTCCGCAGCAGCCTCCAGCAAAACTGCGCCGAGGAGCCGGCCACAGGGCAGCCGGCCACAGGGCAGCCGCCCCGCCCATCCAGGCCCCCGCCAGACCTGGTGGTAAGCAAAGGAGCAAGAGGCCCTGAGACGGGCGACCCAGAGATGGAGGGAGTTGCTCTTCGGGAGATGGTGAACACACCACTCCCTCCCCCGGAGGAGGGCCGGGTGGAGAATCTTTTGTTTCCTTTTTTTCTGCCACTGACCTTGCGGCCGGTGGTACCCAAATTCTCGACAAAAGAGCAATTTCTTCTTTCTCTGGGTACCCTAAGGGGACGGGGGGTTGTGGACGATCCAGAGCCTTATCACACTCACCCTCCTCTCTCGCCAGTGAACAGTAGCGGGCGGATCGGGAGGACGAACCAACGGACTACCCACTGCTCAAACGCAGGTCAGTGTTACACACACCCAGACCCCCGCCTCGGACCGGCAAAGAGACGCCCGTAGTTCCGTTGATGCCACTTGCGCGGTCTCTGGGAGCCTGGCTAGAGCTACCCAGCACGTCTCCATGGCTCCGTCGAACCGTCAGGCTCGGCTATACGATTCAGTTCGCCCGGCGCCCTCCCAAGTTCAGGGGCGTCCACTTTACGTCAGTGAAGGCAGCAGATGCCTCTGTCTTGCGTGCAGAGATCGCAGTCCTACTGGCGAAGGATGCGATAGAGCCGGTTCCTCCAGCTGATATGAGGTCGGGTTTTACAGCCCTTACTTCATTGTACCCAAAACAGGCGGTGGGTTGAGACCTATCTTGGACCTGCGCGTCGTGAACCGGGCCCTTCACCGGCTCCCGTTCAAGATGCTCACGCAGAAATGCATCTTCAGGTGTATCCGTCCCCAAGATTGGTTCGCAGCGATCGACCTGAAGGACGCGTAAACTTTTCTTTGGAACTTTTATTATACTACCAGTCAAAAGTTTGGAATAATTACATTCTTTAATGTTTTTGAAAGAAGTCCCTGTATGCTTACAAAGGCTGCACTTTGATCAAAACCCAGTAAAAATAGACGTGAAATATTATTTCAATTTCTAATAACTGTTTTCTATTTGAATATATTTTAAAATATAATGTATTGCTCTGATGGAAAAGCTGCATTTTCTGCATTACAGATCATAATCCTTAAGAAATCATTCATGTTGATTTGTTGCTCAGTTTTTATCAGTTATTATTGTTGCTCAATTATCAATAATGGTTCTACTGATTATCAATTTGAAAACAGTTTTGCTCTTATATTTATCGTTAGTGTACTATGCTAATATAGTTATTGTTAGAGTTATTGGTGTGAATGGGCTTTCCACTGTGAAAAGTGATTTTTTTTTTTTTTAAACAAACATTTTTGAAAACTACAAAACTACAATCATGCTACTGAAATATATAGCTAGTGGCATCACTACTTTTAGTTATTATCTTCTGTTTATTGTTTTCCAGGGTTATTATAGTTAACTAAAACTAAAACAGAAACCAAAACTAAAATCTTTATACAAAAAAATAAACAAAAATAAATAAGTACAAATGTTACTTGAAACATTAACTGAAATTAAACTTTATATTTCTTATTTTAATTTGGTATAATTCAATATACTATATGTACCAAAAATAACTAAAATTAAAACTGAAATAAAAAAAATAATAAAAGCTATAGAGTCATACTCTATACAAAAAAACAAAAACTACTAAAAATGACAAAAATGGTGCGTGTACTTTTGCGTACATTCGTTTTTCGTATTTTAACCCAGAAAGGAAATACGGAAAATGCGGTTTCTTCTTTAATGGTTCAAACACTGATGAATAGAATAAGCAGACACAAACAAATTTTCATTATTCAAAATTCGTATGTCATTAAAAATCTTCCAACGATTCTCAAACGATTTGTTCGAAGCAGTTCTAAGAGTCAGTCTCTCTAAACCCCTCCTATGGTCTAGCCTCATTGATTATAACGGATTTTTGTGAGATCGCGATAAACTGAAATGAATGACAGCTTTATAATTATTATAGGGAGCGCAGAGCGCGCTTTCTTGGCTAATTCATTCTGAATTTGAATTTAAATACATTTTCTTTTTCATGATGCTGTTGGACCAGTGACAGCTGCACGCTGCAAAGTTTCGGGAGTGACTTTCGGTCGCATTTGAGACATTTTTTGGAGAATGTGCAAGTTCAAATTTGACGTAGTCGCATTTGTGTGAGTGCATGGTCTGCACTGCTCCAAAACATTAGCTCCTTACAGCGAGGCACACTGTAGCAGGAGTCAGATTTCACTGATCACGTGAAGAGAGGAGCTTTGAGTGCGAATGCTTCAGGTGTAGAGCCTGGTTTATACTTGCCGTGTCAGCACAAGCGCGAAGGTGCGGAGATGGTCCTCACTGCAGAACACAAGATCAAGGGGGCGTGATTGTATCCAGAACCTTACATATACCTAAGCCTACCTGTCTCCACCCCCTGATCCCTAAACCTACCCATCTCCACCCCCTAGATGTGGATCCAACCACACCCCCTGGATCTTGTGTTCTGAGGGGCTACTGAAGGTGCGCGCAGCACGTGGTAAAAATTATGCAAATATTCAGTAGTCCCTCACTGCAGAACACAAGGGGGCTTGGTTGGATCCACATCTAGGGGGTGGAGATGGGTGGGTTTAGGGATGAGGGGGTGGAGACGGGTAGGTTTAGGGGTGGAGATGGGTCGGTTTACCACGCCCCCTTGATCTTGTGTTCTGCAGTGGGGACCATCTTCAAATATTGAGGAAATTATGGAAGACGGCAGATTTGGTTTTCACACTAAAACAAAATAAAAGACCGCTTCATAAACCAGAGAAGGTGAACATGTTGTTATTCTTGTGAAAAAAAAAACACATGCAAGTCCTGTCACCGACAGCCAGTTTAGTTTCACTTTTCTTTCTTTTTTTTCGTTTTAAAAAGCTTGTTGTATTGGCTGTTTACCTCACTTTACGCTATGGAGGCTTTCTTTAATTTTTTTAGTTTTTTTATTTATTTGATTCCTCACTGTTTGCTAAACATTCTGTAATTTATTAGTCGGTGTATATAATATAGCATGTGGAGCCATGCCTCATCTTATTCGTTTTTGTGAGTAAACGTCAATAAACTTTTTAATTAAGAATAACAATAAATCAATCTTTTGTTTTAGTCTTAAAAAGTGAAAGGTGTATAGATATAAGCAAAACAGACAATTATATTTTCTTGTAAAACGTGACACCAAGATCGCGAATTCAAAAGCGAAAGTGTCCAAAGTCCGGCTTATAACACAGCAAAAGAAGAATTCCCCTTCACAAAATTCAAATCACAAATAATACTGATGAAAAAGAACGGGTTGAATGTTGAACACTCGTTACCATATAACTATAAACAATGATAAAAGTTCATCAGCATGCATGATTTTTAATGCCATGTTGTAGCAAAAAAAAAAAAAACAGAAAAAACAAATTGCGACCAAAAGATGTGCTCGTGTGACCAACTGAGAAAGTTAGTCGCAAAAGAGCGACCAGTGGAAAGAATGAGTCTAGAGCCCTGTATAGCCTAAACACGGCATTATGCGGATGCCACTATCAGTGAACAGGGCAAAAATATGTCAAAATGTATAAGGCTAGAGTACCCTCACTGATTTCAGAAGCACCCTCAGTGATTTGATTCAGGAACCGGGCCTGCTTGTATCTGGAGATTATAACTTTATATATTTCTATATTAACCTATATATTTACCCCATATATTAAACGCTCTAACACAATGTAGCCTACTGTACATGCATTGAGCGACCATGCATGGTCCTCTCCGATAACGTACCCAGATAGCACACAAAATTATGACAAAATTATATCACAATATATAATTTCATGATGATAGATTTCCCAGGATTCTGCAATGTCTATTTTAAAAATCATATTAGTATTAAGTCTCTGCATTGTTTTTGACATTAATAAAATCTATAAATGTAGCCCATTAAGCACAATTAAAAATGGTTTTAACGTATAATATAATGAAAACAGCTTAACAAATAAAAATGTATCTAGTTAGTTACTTATAACTTCATCAGTTTTCTTCACATTTAGGTCTAAAATGTACTCATTTGTAACCAAATATGAACAATTCCAGCTAAGCAAGCCCGAATTTGTGTGTTTGAGTTTTATAATCTTTTGCTTTAATCTAAAGTCGTTCTTCTCTCTGTCCCTCTGTTTTTCAGGTTTGTCCTGTAACACTTCGATTGATGGCATTGGGACATGCTGGCCCAGGAGCAGTGCTGGAGAAGTGGTGTCCCGTCCCTGTCCAGAGACCTTCCTCGGAGTCCGTTACAACACCACCAGTAAGTGCCGAGCATCTCACATCGCAGTCCTATCTGGACTGTTCCGTCTACTCCTGTTTATGACAGCAGAGTTTCTTTTTTATATCTGTTTTATAGAAGACCTAGGCACTTGACTTATATATTCTCACATGTCTTGACAAGCCGATGTTGTTGGACTTCAAATGATGGCAGGTCTTTGGGGATATTTTCAACGCCTGTAACGTGTTGAAGTCATGTTTGGATGAATATATACGTCCGGCACTGCTTGAAAGGAACAGCAGCAGTTTGAGCATCATAACCGAGCCGACAGCTGAGAGCTACACTACATAACAAGCTTTCAGATTCATGTTTGTGTGTGTGTGTGTGTTTGGGGAGTGTGCACCTCTGCCAAATTGGCCTGTGTGTGTTGGGATGCATGTAGGTCAGTTTTTGAGCTGGTGCATGCTACCAAGTTATGTTTTACCATTGCTAACAAGCGCACTAATTGTTCTGCCAGTGTGAGTGTCTGTGTGTGTGTGTGTGTGTGTGTGTGTGTAGTTGTAATGAGAGAGACTCACTGCTGTGACAAAAGTGTTCCGGTATCCCTCAGAGACGAGTTCTAAATGCTCCCTGTGGACAGATGTGTAGTTTTTTTTATGAAATTATAAATTGCCACGTTCTCTTTGTTCATTCTTCTTTCCTTCTTTTGTTTTTTTCTTTATTCCTTTCTTTCTTTTTCATTTTTTTTCCTTCCTTCCATTCTTCCTTCCTCCCTTCCTTTTGTTTTCTTTCTTTGTCTTCTCTTTATTCCCATCTTTCTTTTTATTCTTGCTTCTTTCCTTCCTCCTTTTGTTTTCTTTCTTTGTCTTCTCTTTATTCCCTTCTTACTTTTTATTCTTCCTTCCTTCCTCCCTTCCTTTCTTTTGTTTTCTTTCTTTGTCTTCTCTTTATTCCCATCTTTCTTTTTATTCTTGCTTCCTTCCTTCCTCCTTTTGTTTTCTTTCTTTGTCATCTCTTTATTCCCTTCTTTCTTTATATCCTTCCTCCCTTCCTTAATTTTGTTTTCTTTCTTTGTCTTCTCTTTATTCCCATCTTTCTTTTTATTCTTGCTTCCTTCCTTCCTCCTTTTGTTTTCTTTCTTTGTCATCTCTTTATTCCCTTCTTTCTTTATATCCTTCCTCCCTTCCTTAATTTTGTTTTCTTTCTTTGTCTTCTCTTTATTCCCTTCTTTCTTTTTATTCTTCCTACCTCCCTTCCATTCTTTTGTTTTCTTTATTTTTATTCTTTCTTTCCCCTTCTCTCTTTTTATTCTTTCTTCCTTCCTTTCAACATTCCTTCCTTTCAGCCTTCTCTTTAATTCATTTTGTGTATCTATTTCGTTTGTCTTTTTTTTCATTACTTTTTGTCTTTTCTTTCTTCCTTTTTCATTCTTCTTTCTTTCTTTCTTTCTTTCTTTCTTTCTTTCTTTCTTTCTTTCTTTCTTTCTTTCTTTCTTTCTTTCTTTCTTTCTTTCTTTCTTTCTTTCTTTCTTTCTTTCTTTCTTTCTTTCTTTCTTTCTTTCTTTCTTTCTTTCTTTCTTTCTTTCTTTCTTTCTTTCTTTCTTTCTTTCTTTCTTTCTTTCTTTCTTTCTTTCTTTCTTTCTCAAAGGTTCAGTCTGGTTTACCTCTGTCAAACAAACCCTGTGGCTGCAGATTCACAAGCCTTTGCAGGTCTTTCAAGTGTTAGAAATAGTAGCTGAGATGGGTTAAAGCTTTTAAGACATCAAAAATGAATATAATCTTAATCCTTAATTTAATTTATATTTAGGGAGATGAAAATGTTGACTGTTTGCGTGGAACCAAGGCTCTCGATGAGAGAATGTCCATTAGTCATATTTCTTGAAACACGTGTAACTTGTTTAGCAAAAAATTGAAAAATAGACAGGCAAAGAGAATCTAAAGAGGAGGAGAAACTGAGAGAGAAGGAGATTGAGAGAATGAAGTCTGATGCCAAAGTAATTATTAAAGGGGTCATAGGATGCCCATTTTCCACAAGTTGATATGATACTTTGGGGTCTTAATGAAAAGTCTGTAATATAGTTTGGTTAAAATTTCTCAATGGTAGTGTAAAAAACACCTTTTTTACCCTGTCAAAAACAGCTCTTTTCAGATCAAGCCGTTTTTGTAGCATTTTCTTTTAAATGTTAATGAGCTCTGCTGACCCCGCTCCTCTCTTCAGAGCTGCTCTAAGAGAGACTGTTTACTTTAGCCCCATTCATCGTGAAACTTGCTAATTAGCACATTATTAGGAAAGGCGATTTGCAAAGATTCATTACAAAACATTATACTCACTTCTTCAGATGAGGCTGGATCACGAATGATTCGCACGAACATAGACACATTTATGTAGATCGGGGGCGCATTCCCTTCAGAAACAAATGTGAGCCACTGCGAGTTCAGCGGCTCAGATGTCAGGAGTAAATGAGGACTGCTATGTTCATTATTACATCCAACAACAGAACACCTCATTTGCTTAGGAGTCATTCTTGTCTACATCTCCTCCGGCGGTGAAACTATGGCGGACTGATGACAGCTCACTCAGGGCGGGTCTGAGGTAAGACACCAGTCCAGTCTGTGCTGAAACGCTACTGTCAATCAAATTATCGTGAGAGGGGCCTGTCTGTGTGACGTCACACAGACAGGCATCTGAGATCGGCTCGATTTGAGAAAGGGGGAAACATTTAACCAGATAAAAAAAAACACTGGGGGGATTTTTATCATTATAGGGTGGTTGTGTACACACACTGCCAACACACATTTCAGTTCAAACAACTTGTAAAAGTGCATGTAACATCCTATGACCCCTTTAAAGATGACATATATGAGAATACGGATAGGCAGCCAGGGAACAGAGAGAACTCAAGAGTAATGATTTGTTTGCACTGTTTTATCCTTAATAATAATTCATTTTTTCTCCTACACCTGGAACAAAGCTTAAAGACAGTGAGAGTGTGTGTGGTTGATATACATTCTCATACACATGAAGGAATGGCCCTATACCCATAGATGCTGGGTTAGTTGATTAGTGTATTAAGATTCACTGGAGCTGATAACATGATTGATTTTTAAAGTCCCGTGGCTGCAGCATATTGTAGAGCTTCAGGCAGTGTGTAGCTCAAATGGAACATTCACAATATTCACAGGGTACTGCACACAGTCTGTGCGCTTATATCGGCTTTTCTCATGGTTTTTATTCCCCAGTGGAATGAAATCTGTGTGTTTTTAAATTATAGGAAAAAAAAGATTGAAAGAAAAACAGTTTTTATGTACATGCTTTTTTGTTGGTAATGAATTTTTGAATTTATGTTAGAACTAATTTATAACCAAACACCCAAAAAAAAATTTATCTAGAAAATAACTTTAAAGTAATAGTCTTTCACAATATAATTTTAAAAAGTTTTATTTGCTTTTGTTCTCATTCATTTGAACACATTTTACCGTCACTTAAATCAAGTGGTCTTATTGGTTAATCAACAAATGTTTTGATGTTCCTTAAGATTTTTGTTTATGTCTGTTAAGTATCAAACACATCAAAACATAATGAATGAAACAAATCCAAAAATAATGAATTTTCATCACAGAATTGCCAGTCACCAGTGTGTTACTGAGCATTTGCATTTTGTCAGCACAGAACAGCATAGACTGTAAAGGAGATGAACATGAGGCTTGTCAGACAGATTAAAGAGGTGGATATTAGTTAAATCAATAGTAAACAATTAAGAAACATTTAAATCAATGAAAAATGCTACAGTACTGCAATGTACAGTCATCACATTACAAAATGCACTTGCATTACCCAAACAAACTGACATAAAATCCATGATGTTTGTAATATCTAATGACACCGCCATAAGGTTTTCCATTCTGCCAGTAGAATAGAGTATACTGTCAGTACTGTTAATTATATTGACTTTTAAAATTGTATTTGCCCATCTTCATGATTTCTCTAATGGGCAATGTCGTTCATTCACAAAGTCAGTGCATACACACAAACACTTTGAATGTACATGGTAAACATAAATTTTGTTTATCAGATGATGTTCAGATGATCAGATGCACATCTGAATATGTGTAGAGGTACCAAAGGATTTGTTAATGAACCATTAAGAACAGTTGGATTTGTTGTCAAATTGTACTTGTAAACATGAGAACAGGTGCAAATGAAAAGATTAACGTTAACTACATTGTGAAAGTAAATTGTACCAAGCTAACTAAAATATGCTTAAAGATTTGAGAGAGAAAAAAAAGAAAAAGATTAAAGAAGATATTCATTTGAAGAAAGATAATTCTGTTTAAATTTTTGTGGAGAAAAAAACATGCAGTACCACTCTAATGAAAGTACAATAGCAGGTTTTGAATGAAAGATGTTTTACAAGTGTGAACGATTTGTCACTTTGTACTGAGGGTTTTAAAAATTAATTGCAGCAATGCATAGTTTTTTTTTTTTGTAGCACATTAGATTGAGTGAAATGACATTGAAGGCTTTAAAGGGGTCATATGATGCTGCTAAAAAGAACATTATTTTGTGTATTTGGTGTAATGAAATGTGTTTAATGCGGTTTAAGGTTCAAAAAACACATTATTTTCCACATACTGTACATTATTGTTTCTCCTCTATGCCCCGCCTTTCTGAAACGTGTCGATTTTTACAAAGCTCATCGGTCTGAAAAAGCGAGGTGTGCTGTGATTGGCCAGCTATCCAGTGCGTTGTGATTGGCCGAATACCTCAAGCGTGTGACAAAAATGTTACTCCCCTTACCATATTGCGATGATGCCCTGTCAGGCCGGAGCGATGATTCAAAAACATGAAAACCCATTATAAACGAGGCATTCGTTGCATCCAGTGGGGACATAATTATGGATTATAATGACTTATACTGTCTTTTTACGCATTGCGTTGCATCGCGCCGCGTAAATATAAAACCATGTCTACATTTGTGATAGGATTTGAGACTTTAGTCTTTGCAACTTTACAGATCATCTTTATGCACCAAGAGCTTGTAA